AAAAAAAAAAAAAAGCATTAGTAGAAAATGAGTAATAAGGTAAATCTCAATGGAAAATATAGTTTCTCGTTCTTCTTCTCCGTCGTCTTCGTCTTTCGTTTTTTTTTTTTTTTTTTGATTTTTTTGAAATCAAAAGTTGTAAAGAATAAACAACGTAAAGTTAGAGCAATAGAAAAATATTAGTTTTTCTTTTCTTTTTTTTTTTTTTTTTGAAGACTAAGTAACTGTTCAAAACACCATGAGCAGTAGCTTATATAAACAGCATTATCTAGCAAATTTTTGTCAGTGTATTGTGCACCATCCGATTGTTATTCGATTCTCGTCATGAACAAACTTGGTCATCGTTATAACGTTATTATGGCATCCTGAGAAATTTCTGCAAAAAAAAAAAGAAGATTACAAATATTATTGCCATTGAACAATTGCTAATTGAAGCACAGTGGTGTAACAGCCGGTGAAGCTAATATACCGTTTAATTTACATCACTCATAGTATAACAGTATATGTAATAATATTTGCTGATTCATAAAAAGCAATTTTTAAGAATCTGTTCATTTTTGCCGGTTATTCTGAGAATATTGAAAAGGAGAATCAAGAGGGTTGTAGAAAAAAAAAATACAAAAAAAAATTGATTCAACTAAACTCATTTATTATTATTCTAGAAAAGTTGTAGTAAGCTGTGGGTAAATGTAAAAAAAGCTAGAAAACTTTGATAGTTGACCGGTTTATAACAGTTGTTTTTTGTACAGTAGGAAGTGTTAAAAAATTGCTGCCGCTTGATACTTACTTCAAAAAACCTTTCAAACATACTTTTTAGATCATATTTTACAGTTCTCTATCATTATTTCGGCAGTTTTTGACTAATTTATAAATTTAAAATTGAAAATTTATATGTGGAGTTATTTTAGCCATAAAAATTCTGTCAAAAAAAAAGTAGTTTGAAAAAATTTGAATTATTTTGCTGGTTAAAAATTGATGCTGTTAAACGAATTAGTACCAATAAAAAAGTACGTACAGAAAAAGTAGCTAAATAAAGATTTGTTTTTAGAGCAAAAAAAGAAAGTTGTTTAAAGCTAAAGATTAGCTAATACAGAATTGCTTTTTTTTCGCTTTTTTTGATAACTAAACTAAAGAGTATTATAAATAACAGCAACTTGTATCTTATATAGAAGAAAGACAAATTTTTGTGTGGCAACGCATCTTTCGCAACAAATAGCTGAAAGACATACAGTTTATTAAATTTGTTTGGCGTTAATTGGTGTCAGTAATAACTGGGTGGTTGAAGGTGAAGAAGAAGAAAAACGGGTACATAGTCTGTAATGACTGCAAAACAGTAAAAGAGAATTATTTTTCTGACAAAGTTGTGAAGCATAAGTTGACTTTCTACATCATAATTAAAAACTTATTGTGCTTGACAAAGAAAAAGTCGTTAATTTCAACACACAGAATGTTGTGGGTCAGTTCAAAATTTCTTCTAAAAGAGTGAGTGTTAAACTTTTCTTTTTTCAATCTGTATAGTTGACAAAATAAAAAAAGAGGTGTGAGGAACATCAGAAGTGCAAAAAAAGACCATCATTTGATTCTTATTGGTGCTACAGATGTTTTCTTTGCAGTTCCGCTGGTACATCAGCAGTAACGCTGGAATGTAAACTGGCTGAACAGATGTGACAATGATATCGGCACTCCGGTGCTTTATGATGATTAACTGTTTTTCTGCTACAAGTAGCAGTTTTGACGATAAAACTTTAATGCCGTAGTTTTTTGATGACAAAAAAACTATCGCTAAAATACCTTGGAATTAATTCATGAAAATCGCTAAAGACAACAAGAAGGAAAAATAATTTATCGTGTTCTATTTGTTTCCTTTTTTTCTGCAGTTTGTTTTCAAGACTTTTTTAACGCAATCTTTAATGACTGGATATGTACAAATCTTTTGGGAAGACCAAAACAATAAGCTGAGAAAAAGCTGTATAATTCCTGAACTGGTGATAAAAAAAAATTTTTTTTTTGAAACCGGCTTCTATAAAGGTCTTTTATATAGACTTCGACTAGGACATTCCAAAGTCTTTGAACTATCCTATCATTTGCAATGGTAAAATTTTACTGCTTTCTTATTGCTATCAGTTGTTTCACCTATGTCATTGCAAATGAGGTTTATGTTTGTAATTTTTTTTAAATTATATAAAAATTTTATCTTTTATAAAAAATGCTATTTTCATTTACAAGAAATATTTAACAGAAAAGAAATAACTTAATAAAAAAAATTTTTTGAAACAAAATTTACCATAACTCAATAAAAATTAAAAAATTTTATTAAAAAAAGTTTTACAGCTGACATTATAAATTTGCAATTATTTATGGCAAAAAAGTTTTTGTTTAAAAGTTTTAATGCGACTAACTTTTTAGTGTTAAGTTATTTTTCAAAAATGAGTAATTTTACTTTTTCTTTTAAAAACGTTTTTGCAGAAGAAATATAAGTAACTCTAATAATTACCATATATAATCTTGCTTTATCAGTATATTATTTTCTATATTTATGTTTATCATCTTTTAGAACACCACTTTCTCAAAATTTCTGAGGTTCAAAAGAAATGGTGTCTGTTGCGCTCCACTCTGCATATGCTTAGGTAGTTGTACTTGCCCGTCTCAAAGAGGCTCGCAAATGCCATCTACCTACTTGGCTGAACAAAGCAGTGGTGCCTTATTAGGCGTGCAAGAACAACGACGGCCACAGTATCAAGAAGAATCTCAGCAACAACTTCCAACTTTACCGCAGTATCAGCATGAATCTACACAACACCAGGTGCAGATGCAGTCCCAGTATCAGCAAAGTGAGTTTCAACAACAAATGCGGCTTGAGCCTCAGTATCGGCAGAATGACCTTCGACAACAGGTACAAACTCAACCTCAATACCAGCAAGACCTTCAAACAAAAATTCTACCTCAGTATCTGCAAGTATCACAACAACAACAACTAGAGGTTGAATCTCAATATCTACAGAAACCACCATTAGAAGAGGCACAGGCTCAACTTCAACTTCCAGAAGTTCAGCAAGAACAGCTAAAAGTTGTACCACAGTATCAAACACCAGCACAAATACAGCCAATGTACAATCCGCTAGTTCAGTCTTCAGCACAGTTGGTCCAGATGTCACAGTCTCGACAACCGCAACAACAGAAAATAATTGGAATTTGTATTTTCATTTGCATGCCTGTCTGTGACCCACAATGTGTACAAACAGCAACATCGCGTTCGTACTTCGAGCCTACACCTGTATACACCCCACCGCCAGCAATTTATTCACCATCTTTTACCACCCCAGAAGCAGTAACAGAGAATCGATCATCAGATATGATTCAGAGGCCAAAGATGATTATATGTATTGCACTATGTATGCCAGCTTGTAACCCGAACTGCATTCGAGAAAATACAGTAAGACCGCAGTTTGAACAAGTCAGCTTGCCTAGTTTTCCACTTGTAACTTTTCCACCGCCTACCGTTTCCTATCAGTCATCTTCTGTTGCTGAAGCACCTTCGACAGCTCTGCAGCAACAGCAAACGAAGAATTTTAAAAAAGTTTGTATATTACTGTGTATGCCCGTCTGCTCTCCGTCTTGTATAAATCAAATATCACAACAGCAACCAATAATAATGCAATCGCAGCCCATAACTAACAGGCAACAAATCAAATATCAAGATGTGTTGATAAACCCTTTTCAAAACTTGCAGTCACAACAGCTACAGCCACAGTTACAGCAGGTACAGCAGGAGCCAGTTGCAGTAATGCAGCGAGTACAGCCAGTACAACAAGAGCCAACTGCTGTGATGCAGCAAGTACAGCCGTTTCAACAAGAATCAACTGCAGTATTGCAACAGGTAGAGGCTTCACAACAGGAGCCGAATGCAGTAATGCAACAGATGCAGTACGAAGAAACTCAACCGACATATCTTCAATACCCGTTGCATTTTGGACCACAACGTCAGTTTGAACCTGCAGCGGTTGTTCAACAAGAACAGTTTCAACTGCAGTCTACAGAAACTGCAAACCAGACGCAGATTAGACCAATCGAGCAAGTTCAAGAACTTGAAGCAATTCTAGCTGCTCAGCAGCAGCTGGAATTTCAGCCTCAGTATGAAAAGCCTATTGCAGCAAAGCAGCAACAATCAAGTGATGTTTTTCCAAGCTTCGATATCAACCAAAATAGCCGATGCTCATGTATAGGTCCGATTCGTATTTGTACCAGTGGAAATGTTAATTTCAAGTGTTGCCGTCGCCGTTGCCGTCATTAAATGTGTAAGTGCCAAGAAGATAGTCCTTGTATAGTTTTTTTAATGCAAGATTATCTGTAATTATTAGCTTAAAAGCATGCTATTAAGTTTTATCAATCTGAAAGATGTAAAAGATGTTGTAATAAGTTATCTAATTGTTGCATAAAATTCACTTTTGAAGTAAAAATCTATTTGAAAAAATTTGCTTATATTTAGAATAAATCTGAGTTCTATTTTTTTTTTTTTTTTATTTTTTTTTCTGTATTATTCTGCATAAAATGCACCGCCAAGGATTTAAAATAAAAAGTTGATTTATTTAAACTCTTATATATACTTATTGAAAACTGTTTTCTTGAGAAACAGAGTAGCAAAGTGTATAAAAACCACTAAAATTTAAAGTTTTGTTTACTTGTTGCACTTAAAAATTGGTTTAAACCAGTTTTTCGTTTTCATTTAACACAAAATATATTCCTTGTAATTTTGGCAAAGTAAAGTTTTTGCAAAAACAATAATAATGCTTTTAAATGGTTACTCTGCTTTTGAGAAAATATTGTCAAAGCACTGCTTCTGTTACCGATTAACATGTCGGTCTCCGAAATAAATGGCTTATAATTTTAACAGTGTTTGCATTATAATATCCAATAAAAAAAATTTGATATCAAAAATATTATAATATTCAGAAATTAATACAGAATATTGCAAAAATTTGCAAAAAAATATTTTGCATCAATAAGCAAAATTTACCTTGCAATATTGCTTAAAAAACAACTTTTTTTCTTAATTACTCAGCCTCTATATTAGGTGTTTCAATTTTTCAGTCACTTTTTTTTATATATAATTAAACAAACCTGAGCCGAAAAAAACCAAATTTAGTCACCAAACAGATTTAAGCAAATTTGTTTGCAGATTTACATTCAACATCAGTGCATAAATTCCACTCATCAAAAATTTATCACTATTTTTGCTTATAATTAGCAGTGACTACAGTTTATCAAATTTTAAATAAAATTTATTCAGTATATGTCACTGAAATCAAAAACAAACAAATTTTCCAAAAGCAAACAAAACTACCAAATTTAGAAATACAAAGTTTCTGCTACTTCCGTTTATTAGATTGACATAAAAAATTTTTGAACTGTTACAACTCGGCAAATTCTGTCGAAAATTCAGTTTTTTACTTCGTTCGTTGATAAAACCGTATTCAGTGATCAAAAAAGTTAAGGCAATTTTTGAAACGATTTATTAACAAAAAAATTTTTTTACAATTTCTACTGACATTTCAGTCATATCAAAGCAATATAGAAGTGAATATCTTAAAAACAGTTTCGCATTCTGTGCTTCAGTAATTGTTCGAAAACTTGCTGTTTAGAATCAAATTGTCAATAAAGAGCTTAGGTGCAATAAGACTTGCTCAGTTTTAAAGTTAAAAAATTTTATTTCTGCATAATTGAAGCTTTTCTGGGTTACGACTAACTGGTCGAATGCTGTAAACAAAAAACTTGTGTAATCAGCTGATTGGTAACGCCGTTTCAGTGATAAATTTTTGTAATCGTTTCTGTTCTAGTAGAATTCAACGTCACTTTGCCAGTATCTGAACAACATTCAGTTGGCAAAAGTAGCGATTTTATTAACAATTTTATAATGTTCAAGAAAACAAAGACTGTATTTCACCTAATTATTTTTGATAGAAACAATAGAACAGCATCAATTTAATAAAAATTTGCTTTTCTGTTGCTCCGCTGTATCGCCTGTCGGTAGGTTGAACAACTAACTTTAACCGAAATTACTGCATCTACACTGTTGTTTAGTTTTAAATATTGTCAAAAAATAAAGCAAAATTTCGTAGAAGAATAAAACTTTAACAGGTTTTTTGTATAGTAAATTTGTAACAGTTATTAAATACATATATAAATCATTATTTTTCTCGCTTATTTTGCTTATTAATAGAGCCTAAAAGAAGAAATTGAACAAATAAAGTCAGTTTGACCACATACAAATATCTTCACTCCTTGACGGTTTCAAAATTTTATCTGTTTAGATTAGTAACCTTAAATCCAGCTGCGTACATCAATTACAGATATACCTAAAAGCTCAGTAATAACTAATAAATTGTTGTTCAGCAAACATTTCTTTAAATTTAGCATACTGTTTTAACTTTGCATTTGAAAAGAAGTGCAAAAATTGAGAAATCAGTTATGAAAAAAAGTTGGCTAAATTTAGTACTGTTTTGCTGTAGTGATATATATTAATAAATTTTTAAAATCTTAACTAAGAGAAGAAGGTAGCGGAAATGGTTCTGCTGAAACACCTAAGCCACTATAGTAAAGCCAAATAGAGCGAATAGGAATTGGGAACGAAAGATATAGACGACACACGTAGTTGAGCGTAGCAAACCACACTGATCAGACTCTAAAGTTGACTCTTAGAAGTCGTTGTAGTTATTTCAACAACCTCTGATAGTCAATTTTATAGTCTGAATTTTGAAGTGTGGACACAGCAGTAAGGAGGTAGAGGGAACGCCAATTAACAAATACAAACAGATACGTATACATATATTTGGTTTTTTCAAATTTTTCCTCTTCTAAGCTGAACTTATCTCAACAACCTCTGATAGTTACTTTTATAGTCTGTTCAATAGCAAAAATAATGATGAAGTATTAAAACAATTTTTTTTTTGCTTGAAATTATGGTAAGTTTCTAAAAAAAAATTTTTTTTACCTGCATCTTCTGTGTTTGCTCATTAAAATTCGCTTTTTTATATCAAAAAATTTTTTAAAAAAAAGGTTTTTTCAATAATTTTAATTTTTTTTTTCTTTTTCTCTAATCAAAAACCATATGTGAAGATTATACAGAATATAAAAGCAGAAAATGCAGGTAGAAGAAAGTGCTATATGCAAATAATACTCAGAAAAATTTTCAAATAAACAAAATCTTTTTCTTTGCAAACAACATTTCAGCAGATAATACCAATAATACAAAAAGCTTAAAGCGATAATAAATTACAAATCTGTAAAAAAAAAAAAAGAACAACTAAATAATTTTTTGCTAATGACAACAGCAACTGCCAATATTATTATATTTCACGAACTATTTTTACACTGATCATTCAACTATTTGATATTAGCTGTTTCAGATTTAACAATTTCAATGTCAGTGACTTTGAAAAAAGGTATCGATGTCAAACAGTACAACAGAGGACAGTAAATTACTAATACGAAATTGTTTCAAAGCAGACCACAAATATTCGCAACTACTTTAAGCATAAAAAAGTGAGGAAAAATTGGTTGACTGAACAACTCAAAAAATGTCTTTGAAAAAAAAAAAAAGAAGCAAAAACGAGAAACGAGAAAAGCGTATCAAAGCTTTTTCAAAAAACTATATAGCGAAACTGCAAACAACATTTAGTCAGTATTTATACTGCCGACAAGGTGTCTATCTATATAAGATATACCAAAAATAGCCCTGAAAATGTATATTTTGCAGCTCAAGAAGTATTTTGACGTCATCATACAGTAAAGCTTTTTTGCAAAAAAAAACTTCAATAAAGCTGTTCATTTACTTTTTCGTTGAATTACTTTTACCAAACATGAAAATCAAAAAGAAATCGTTGTGCTACGATTCAGCTTCAAAATTAT